TCCCCTACCTGGGGAAAGAAATAGACTTACAAGTCCAGGAAGCACAGAGGGTCCCAAACAAGAGGAACCCAAAGAGGCCCACAGCAAGACACATCATCATTAAAATGCCAAAGGTTAACGACAAAGAGAGAATCTTAAAAGCAGCAAGAGAAAAGCAGTTAGTTACCTACAAGGGAGCACCCATATGACTGTCAGCTGATTTCTCAACAGAAACCTTGCAGGCCAGAAGGGAGTGGCAAGAAATATTCAAAGTGGCAAAAAACATGGAACTACAACCAAGATTGTTCTACCCAGCAAAGCTATCATTTAGAATAAAAGGTCAGATAAAGAGCTTCACAGATAAGAAAAGGCTAAAGGAGTTCATCACCACCAGACCAGCATTACAGGAAATTTTGAAGGGTCTTCTTTAAGAAGAAGCTAATGAACAAAAGAATCTGATGAACTAAATAGATCCAGAGACATTGATGCATGCAACAGACTATCATACTTCAGAGGAAAGAGGGAAGTGTGGTGGAGGGTGGGAAGAGATTAACCAAAGAAGTTATATGCATATATGCATAACCCATGGACACAGTTAATAATGGGGTGAAGGCCTGGGGAGGGGGTGGGAGCAAAGTGGAGGGGGTCAATTGGGGGGGGGAATGGGACACCTGTAATACTCTCGACAATAAAGATAAATTTAAGAAAAAAAAGAATGTCTCCTTTTTATTTGCTTTACAATATGACTCAGAAAATTCACTCAGTCAATAGATACTGTCCTAAGTGCTTGAAATATGAACAAAACAGACAGAAATATCATTTTCATGGAGCTTGCATTCTATTTAGAGAAATCCGACAACAAAAATATACAATAAATAAGTAAATTATATAGGTGATAAGTCTATGGAGAAAAGAAACAGAGCAGTACAAGGGGAAGATATATTACCATATTAATGTTTTAGAGAAAGTCATATTTTTCTATTAAAAAATAAAAGATATCCAGAGAGAGCATTTATCCCCCAATACAATGAGGCAAGCAGTTAGAAACAGTCCTAAGCAAGGATTGTTGGTATTGTAACCTAACAGATGAGAGAATGGGGCCAATTCTGCCAAAGCAGTGAAAAAGCATTATATTCAGCAGTACTTTTTGGCAGCACATATTGTATAAAATATATATGTAAAAATATTGTGTCCATTATTAGCCATTTTAAAGCTATAAAGATTCATAAAGTTCAGGAAGAAGTAAAATCTCACAACAAAGTAAAATTATTCATCAAGTTATATTCCTTCTTTCTGAAGATTTTCAGAATAGTCTCTTGAGAAAGATGCTTCATTATGAATGAGCTTAAATATTTAATGAGTTGAAATGAGTTATTTTATGTAAAAGTACTAGGTATACTACCTGGTACATGTATAAGTATTTGTTAAATTTTTTTTAAATTTAAATAATCATAAAACTATATCCCAAACCTTATTGGGGATTACTGCTTAAATTCCTAATGAGCTAGGCAATAAGAAGAAAATAAAGTGCCCATTTTTGAGAACTGGGATAACACTTTCAGGCAAATTCATTGCTTTTACCCTTAATAACATTTTTTTATACTACAGACATAAGTAATGTGTAGTACATATGCTCAGCTACTTCAGTAAAATTCCTTTATCTTTTGTTTTCTTCAATTTCACTGCTCATTTTATTACCATTTCCATCAGAAAGTGTGAAACGGAAGGGGAAATGAAGGCTAGTAAACATAGTTTATGTCAGTTTGGCTCTTAAAAAGTAAGTGAGGAAGTCAAAACAGGGAGATAAAATTAGGTTTGAAGTGTTTTCATCTGTGCTATCTCTGTCCCACATCACCACAAATCATCAGGAATACTCTTGCATAACTCATGGCTGTCTCTGGTTTCAAGAATTTCTGAGATATTTATATGAGTACATTTTATCTGAAAATCAATAGTAATTGCTTCTCTTAGAAAGTGATTCTGCAAGCAGAGAAGGAGAAATACTGGGTGATCATTTGAACTCTGGGAGTTATTTCCCATTGCAACAAAAATGGAAGGAACATCTCCAGACAGGCCTGGAGGCAACTTTCACGGTGTCCCCATTGCACTTTTATACATTGCCATCTAGTAATTACAGTATTGTATTTAATTATTTACCAGTCAGTCTTCCCGACTGAAAATTCTTTGAAGAAACACCTGACTTTTGTTTTTGTAGCCCTGGGTTTTTAGTACAGATAGACAGTATTCATAAGTGAAAGAATAAAAAAATAAAAGATCACTGAGATTTATGAGTTAACCAGGTCTCTCTCTCTTTCTCTCTCTCTCAAACATTAAGTCCAACAAAAGTAGGTGGATGACGTCTATTGTTTGGGGGAAACCCAGCTCCCTTAACTGCAAGAAGCCCTGAACCAAAATACATCCATTCCTTTTTATATCTCCATGCAATATAAGTGTATCAAATCATTATATTACCTATAGTATCTTAGCATAAGCTGCTTTTCAAATAAGCTGCTTTTCAAATAAGCTGCAAGTATTAGAAGAAGCTCTTCTGCCAGTGCAAACCCAATGCAAACATTAAAACTCCCAGACACCATTAAAGTTCCTCTTCATTGGTAAAGTCAGAATAAATAGCTTATATTGTGTAATTATGATAATTGAAATTCCGAGTAATAATTATTCAGAGAAGAAGAGACATCCTTGATGACAAATGATCAAATACAGTTTTCTATTTTTAACATAGGCCTGCAGAGGGTTTGTTATTTTCAAATCAAATCTATTAAACCTCCTGAATACATCATTTCTCATTAAGATTCTTTTTTAATTCATTTGATTTGTCAAAGACAGGGTATCAGTGAATAATTTATAAGTAAAAATCATTTATAATATTTATCTTAGCTTTATCTTTTTTTTTTCTTAGCTTTATCTTATGATATTTATCTTAAAGTGAACAGAACATAAGAGCAAATAAAAAAAAAAAAGACACAAGTAACAGATAGGGAGGGTGGTGAGACTATAAAGGAAAATCTCAAGGTTAATTATAGCACTAATGGACACTCTTAGCTTATTATCTAAATAATTTTACCAGATATTTTATTTTATGAACTACATCGGCTAACAAGTCAACTCATTTCATAAGGCATTAGGTATTATTGTGATTTAAAAATTACTTTTTAAAAAAGCAAAACAATTATGTGCCCTTATGTGTAAAATGAGTTGATATTAACTATTTCCGGTGATCCATAAACCATTATAAGATATAACGCATTATTATTACGCTATTGAACTTGTAATACATTTTTCTTATACTGCTATATGTGTAAAATATTTTGCCTAATAATAAACTTTTTGTTTACGGTGGCTCTGTGGGAAATTCCTCCCACCAGAAAATTACATCAGGATAAGATGGTGGTTTTCAAACATTTTGGTTGTTGGCCCCAAAGAGGGTTCCTTTGAAACAAAATTCACAAATAAGTTCATCACTCCAAGGAAATATCTATGCTGTTCTTGAAGCAGGAAAAGAGAAGTGGATATTTTAATTTTAAATGGAGGCAGTAAAGGTAGTATTGGGAGCCAATATGTATAGTCAGTTAGGTAACTAGAACAAAAATTATTATTAATGCTGGCAGTTACCAGTTCCCATAAACACTTACCAATAATTAGCAAATTGTTTATTAAATCTCCTTTAGGCTGATTACCTGGTTTTCATTAGATCCAACCTGATTTTTTGGAGGTGCTAGATGTATCTATATGACCTACCTTAGATAACTATTAAATGAGTTTACTCTCAGCCCACAATAGCTTACAAATTGAAATAGGTTATCTCTAGTCCAGTTCTAACTATTCTCTTTATATTTTCATTCAGTGAAATCAAGAATTAAAAATATATGCTTTGTAATAATTATGTATGGTGCCAGGTGGGTACTGGAAATATCAGGGAGAACACTTTGTAAAGTATATAACTCTCTAACCACTATGCTGTACATCTGAAACTAATACAAAATAATATTGAATGTAAACTGTTGTTAAAAATTGAAAAAAATGAAGGAAAAAAATATATATGTATCTATGGTTGCTTAACTTAAGCAATATAAAGCCGGAAAACTAAGAGAAATTTTAAAAATTCAATCATTCACGAAGTTACACAATCATGGTGTTTATTTACCAAAAATATTTTTATCTGTCTACTTAGCATTATGTATATGCAACAATAATTATTCCAGTCAGTCATCAAATATAAGATTTTTCCTTATTTTAATCAAATTTATCTAACTTTTAATGATATAATACATCATTTTCTTTTCACTTTTTCTTCTCATTAAATGCTAAGAGCACAATTATGCAAACAATCACATTAATACATTTTCAAATCTTTTATTGACATGAATAGTTTAAATTTCCATCTATTTATTTTCCTACCCTCAGTATCCACAATCTTCACAATTCTCTAAAATATCCACAGAGTTCATTTTGCTCCATTTTTCCCTCATTGAGAATATTCACACGCATATACCTGCTTAAATTGACACCCAGCTTCCTCTAATTATATTTTGAAATATCTAAATACTCTCATTTTTCAAAAAGCAATAGTAAAGTATTGTGTGAAATAGCTGTACTGGAGGGAATTCAAGCAATTTAACATAATAAATATTATTTTCGATATATAATAATTTCAGAACGTCAAAGCATGCTTAAAGCTGTTTTTGAATGAAAACATTTTAAAAGGCAAAATCATACGATGAGATCACTGTAAACTTGATGTTTGAAATCCAGGCCACAAATTTTAAATTACCTTTTTATTTCTTTATCTCATTCTTGTACGCTACAATAATTAAGTACTATGACTAAGGTGACTGCCTGCTATGTAACAGAAAACCGAGGTTGTTCTCCTTTTACTGGCTTTTCAGACATAAAGCTTCAGCCCATACATTACGTATCCGAAATGAAGACATTTCCTGTAACCACTAGCTGTCGTAATTTTTTAAACTGGAAAAAGAGAAGCTAAATTATAATTACATACTCACCTTTTGATGCCTTGAAATAGTCCGGCAGAATTAAAATAAATGTGATCACTATGGCTAAAAGTAGTTTAAGGAGGGCTGCTTTTGTCATTTCTATTCACATGACACGTGTCCCCATCCGGTGCACTGACAACAGGCTTCTTCCTGCTGTAAGGTTCATCTCTGTGGTACTTCAAGTTTATGCAACTGACCTCAGACTTCCTTTCGGGTAAGACTTTAAAAAAAAGAAAAAAGAGAGGCCTTGAACTGAGACATCTTCATTTTCAGTCACTTGACACTAAGAAAACTACCTTCAAATAAGCATTTTCAGACTATTTCCTCTTGTTCACCAATCTGTGTGATAAATATGAACCCACAATATACTCACTGAAAATAAAATGCTGAAAGTCAGTCATGTCCAGGTTATACGGACAGCAGTCAGCATTCATTCATTTACTTATTAAGGGCGAAGCAGGCACGGTGCTGGATTCTGGTGTCCAGAAAACAGTATATGTAGAGGACAGTAAACGGGACAAAAGGTAAAGATAAACTAAGGACACGGAAGGTTGTAGTTCTACTTTACCACACGGTATAAAAGCAGTAGAAGGGGCTCATTTATTATCATTCTTCCTGTAAACACTGGGTTTATTGTTACAGAATCCACATTTTCAGTTCCTATTTCAAAAACAGATTTTGCATTCTGATAAACTTAGTGAAACAAAGTACTTTGTTTAGAATATACGCAGGGAAGGAAAAATTCATAGCGAATAAAGAATATGTGCGAACGAATATTTTTATTCCATTTCTCTTGTTTTCTCGCTTGTTTGTTTCTTAATGCCTAACAGCTTCTCCCTGCGCACTCCTGAACCCTCACTACCCATCCATCTCCATGTACCCCCTTTCTTGGCCTTACCCACCCAGCCCTGGGCTTTATGGAGCAATGGGCGAGTGGGGGCAGGAGACAGGGAACAGCGGTCATGCTGTGAATACATTATGAGTATGAATGAACTGTCTTTTCTTCTGATTGGGGGTAGGGATTGATAGACAAGAGTCAAGGGTTAAGAGATCTTAGAGCCTAAGCCTAACAGCAATCAAGTGGGAGTAGGGTTTCAAATACTACTTATTTTATGAACAGTGTTAAGAATCATTCAAAGGCAGAGAAGAATTGATGAGAGTCGTTGCCCACACAGCCTACTGGACTGAGGCGTATTGGACTATAGGGCCAGCAGCACCTTCAATAGAGATGCTGGCGGGAGGGGTGGGGGACCCTGTCCCGTCATTCTTTCCCATCTTACAGGTGTCACTAGGTGGTCAGTGGACCTTCTACTCCCCATTTTGACCCTGTTTTGATTCGCTCAGACATTCTCTTATTTGTGAATACAAACATTCCAATCACAATTTTACCAATGGAGATAAAATTGTTGAAGAAAGTGTTTACTTTATATAACACCATGAAGTCAATTTAATTTCTTGATCACTTTTCTATAAAAGGCAGTTAAGCCACTTCAGTACAGGGTGGGGCAAAAGTAGGTTTACAGTTGTTTATACGGAAAATAACACAATAATTAATAAATAATAATACAAGAATAAACTGTTTCTCAAACAACTATAAACTTGCTTTTGCCCCATCCTGTATTTCCACCTTAATTTTTATTTCACTGAAATTAGTTTTGTTGTATCTATTCTTTTCTATGAACAACAATGCTTTGGTCTACTTTTGTCTATATCAAATTTTATTGATTTGAGTTCTTTTGTGATAGTATTGCTTGCAGACCTGCTTCCCCTTTCCCCATCCCCTACCGTCCAATATGACCTCAGACTGCTTACCCTATTCTTGAGCACCTGGAAGACAAACTTCCCTAGCAGCCCCATGGGTCCCTCTGCTAGTGATGGGCTGACCCAGGTGCCCTGCATCTGGCTTCTTTGGTGCTGTACAGATAGATGGTGGATGTCAGGAGACCTGTCCAGGGTCCCTAAGTCCGGGGCCACTGCCTCACTGCTCTGAGGTTATAGAGAATCAGTATCTACTTCCTGGACACCAGTGTATTATCTCTGACTTAGCAAATGATTAGAAAATTATGCTATGATCTCAGGTATTTCAGGAATCTTTTATTATCCACATTGTTCTGTTATATTTAAATCCAATTTTTATAAATACTTTTGATCATTCTGACTACAGTTACTAACTGCTTAAAGTGTTAGCAGAACAAATAGCCAATGACCAATTCCAAATATCCCCTGGATCAAATCCTCCAAGATTCAATGTCAAGGATTAAAATTAAAGGGTCAAAATATCTCACTTTTTCTGACTATCATAATTCATCCACTAAAATGTTTTATAACTGAGATGACTATATAAAGTACATCATTAAATATTGGCATTTTAAACACCAGCAGTCACTAAAATTTAATTATTAAGCTGAAGTTATTTTGTAGGTAATCATAGTGCCTTAGAAACAGACTAGTATAGGTTGTGCTAACTCTTGATTTTATTTAACTTGTAATCTTATTTTGAAGATAGAACTGAAGCAACAGAATGGGTTAGAGACAAATCAGCCTGGAGTAGACAAGCATCTAGTGGTGTGTAAGAAATTTTCTTCAACAACGTCATTTGAGGCTTTGATTTATGTATTAAAGACAGAGATGTAGCGAGCTCTAAACCTTTAAGTGTGTGACTTTGTTAGAATTTAATGTGGCTATTTGCTCTCAGGAATTGTGGGAAGCCAAGGCAGCTCCCAGAGCTGGGGAAGTGGCTTCTTGGCACTCTTCCTTTGATGTCACTCCTTGCATCTGCACTCTCCTTTCGTTCATATTTCTGTACCATCACCTCTGCATCAATCGACCATGACAACTCTGCAGATTAAGTTATTTCTAAAGACTTCATTTGATTTTTAATGGTCCATAGATACATCGTAGTTCATTTAACCATACTCCAATTACGCCATTTAAAAAATTTTATATAGCACCATAACGTGAATATTCACATACATACATCTTTGTGTGAATCTGATTATAGAGGAGAATTACTGAGACAAACGGCATGAAGATTTTTGAAGTAGTTGATTCGCGTAGACAACTGTCTCCCAGAAAAGCTGTGCCCATATACCAGCTGTGTGAGAGCGCCCTTATTTCACCAAACTTCAACACTAGCCACTTTATTCTTTTAACCTGTGGCAATTTGACAGGAAAAAAAAATTGTTTTTTAATTTGCATTTCTTTCATTGCGAGTAAATCTGAACATTTTTCATATTTACTGGAAATTTGAATTTCTCCTATGGTGAATGGCCTGTTCATGTCTTTTACTCATAGACTCGTTCCTGCTTTATAGGCCCTTTTTCTCTTTTGGGGATGTGTATCCTTTGCCATATATGTTAAACAGTCTTCGCAGGTTCTCATGTTTTTTTGTTGTTATTTCAACCTCACCTGGGTATATGTTTTTATTGTGTTTTAGAGGGAGAGGAACAGAAAAAGAGACAGAGAGAGACATAGACGTGAGAGAGAAACATCGATGGGCTGCCTCCCCAAATGCACCCCAGCCAGGGATTGAACCCACAACCTAGGTATATGCCCTGACCAGGAATCAAACCCATAACCTTTTGGTGTACCGGACAAAGCTCCAACTAACTGAGCCACCTGGCCAGGACCTAAAAATAATAGTAGCAAACACAAATGTAGCCTTACTATGTGCCAGACACTGCTCTGACTCAAGGTTTCTCACAGGTGGCACTACTGACATTTTGGGCTAGTAATTCTTTGTGTGTAGGGGCTGCCTTGTGCATTGTAGAGTCTTTAGCAGCAGATGCCAGTAACAACCCTCCCTTAGTTTTGACAACAACAATAAAATGTCTCCAGAGGCTGCCCAATGTCCCTTCGGGGGCAAAATAGCTCCCAGTTGAGCAGCGCTGTGCTAAACACTTCACGTCATTTAATCCTCAGAACAACCTTAGGACATAGTCACTGTCATTATTTCCATTTCACAGGCTTCAGACCAATTCTATCTAGGTCATCTAATCATCCAGAAAGTGACTTTAAAAGACAATTTATAATCTTGATCAGCCTAATTACCTCTAATAGCTTTACTTGCAGATAAACCATCTACTTTGGCAACACGCGAAGCTTGGATTACACATTTTGTAGAGGGATAATCTCTTATTAACGAGGTCTGCCTGAGTATGGAGAGGGTTTGGGGAAGTTCCAAAGTCCTCATTCATTTTGTGGCTCATTCAGCAAATATTTGCTGAACACCTGCACAATGACAGATAGCAGTCTGAACCCCAGAGATGGAGTAGCAAATGCAGCAAAGTCCCTGCACTCACATTGCAGCAGGTGTGAGCGTTCCAGTGACAGACAATTAGCAAAAAATGACAATAGCTTATTTTCAGATAATGTTAAGTGTTCTGAAAAAAATAAGGCAAAGAATGATGTGCTAACAGAGAGTTAGGCAGGGTGCATGTTGTAGTTTAAAAAGGATGTTGAAGAAGGCCTTGTACGATCCCATTTATAAGACCAGAGAAAAAAGGCAAAACGACAGGGGCTGAAAACACATCGGTGGCTTCCAGAGGCTGGAGGTAGAGGTAGAGGGAGGGGTTGACCACAAAGGGGCACGAGGGAATTTTTAGGGTGATGAAAATGTCCTATATCCTGATGATGGTAGTGTTTATACAACTGTGAGCATTAAAACCCTAGAACTGTACATTAAAAAGAACAAATTTTACTACAGGTAAATTATAACTCAATAAACTTCTCTCTTCCTCTCAGTCTCTCTCTCTCCCTCCCAGTTTCTCTCTCTCTCTCTCTCCCCACACACACAGGCTTTTTTGCTGTTTTAGAAACAAACATTATTGAGAAAGGGGCTGGGATGTTGTTCCTGAGGCTGGGAGTGTGGGCCAGAGTTTGAACTAATTTAATTGAAGAGAATTCCAGAGGGAGCATCAGGTCAGGTCAGCAGGAGGCTACAGTGTTGCCCCTGCTTGCCGGCAGTGGCTGTGGCGAGGTTGTTGCAAAGAAACCCAGGGCATGAGGTGCGCAGGAGGTCACAGCTTTAGCAGCCAGGTCAGTGAACCAGAAAAGGTGGTCAGCATTGCTCAGGCCCCAGGCTGCTCAGCTCACTGAGCCGCCTTCTCTACGTTCATTACCCCTCGGGGAGCATCTGGTTTGATCTGCCACCACCGTGTTCAGAATGCTCGCCGGGCAGCGTTAGCTCACCTGAGGCCTTTGCGCACAGGCCTTCCCCTCCCAAGCCTACACGCGGCCGCTCTGCCTACGCCGTCCCCGCCCCAATCACCTGGGGCAAGAAGCGCAGAGTCTGTTTTCACTAACAAAGCCACTGCACTGAGACGGCAGCTACGCAGGAAAGAACCCACTGGGGCCAGTTTCCTTAAAAGGAATACAAGGCAGGCTTGTCTGCCCAGCCAGCACGCTCAGAGGCTGGGGGAAGGGGT